ATGTTTACAGCTATTTTTCTTCATTTTAGGTTGTGCCCCATCATCATATGAAGGTCCCAAGTGCTTTATTCCATTCTCTTTATCATAATCAGCTCCTCTTTGAGGAGGCAGCTCTTCCCGAGTCTCATTTTGAGTGCTTTCCAACCTGAGGGGCTCATCACTTTATCTGGCTATGTTCCACTGCTATTCATAAGGTTTTCAGTTCCTAACTATTAGGAAGTAGTCCGTCTCTCCTTCTTCCTAGTTGTCTTCATATGTAAGCTCATCTGAAACCTGTCCACTTTGATGACCCTGCTGATATTTAAAATACCCATGGAATAGCTTCCAGAATCACAGCAACACACAAGCCACCACAGTGTAACAGACTGACAGACGATTCTCTGAATAGAGATTTCTGTTCTCTGAATAGAAATCCTAAAAAGCAAACAAAAATCCTTTACGTTATACTTTGTATTTTGATTATTAATAATGGTCAGATTATTAAGATGAAGAAGTAAAGGAACCATTTGAATGGCTGAGAATTATTTAAAAGGGAAAAGATAGTGTTTTGGAAAACTGATTTTTATATTTAGTTTTAGAGGAATTAACAAATAAACCCTATGAAAATAAACTGATGTCCAGAAAATTAGGTGCTTTTCCGGAATAATAATTTCTTGATAACCTTTTATAGATGTTTTCATTTCAAGTCAATTGTGGTGGCTCCTAAGGTTTATGCACTACTCCTGTGATTTGGAGTTATCACTAACATTGTGTTTCAGTTGTTTGGCTAACTATGTCAGCTTTCATGTTTTTCTAAAGCATTTTCATTACTGGTCTTAAATGTTCTTCAAAATGTATCTCAAAAGATTAACAATTCTCAGCTCATTATTTATATTTACAGAAAGGACCAATTATTTAATACCATACTTGATAGTTTTGGAGTTTTTTGTTTGTATTTAATAATGCTGTGGTACAGGCTTTGAAACTTTCATGAAGACAATATTTATTTGGATCATTTTTTAAAATTATCATCATAGTAAAAGTTGTCTTTCTTAATTTATTTAATGCATTTTGAAATTATTATAACTAGGGTTAAGCAACTTTATCTAAGACTTAACGTTAAATATATATGACTATAACTGTAAAAGGCAACTAACAGCTGCAGTGATTCTCAACAAGGGTGATATTGCTCCCAGGGGACATTTGGCAATGTTTGAAGGCAATTTTGGTTATCCAAATAGTGCTAAGGTTGAGAAATCTTACCATAGTTCATCCTTCTGAGATAATAAATGATTGTGCTGAGGGTACATCACCACTGTTACCCAAGAGGCTTACAAGTAAGGCTCTGGGAGGGCCACTCCCCTGTCCCCAGTAGAGTATAACAAGTCACTAAAATGGTTAAAGGCCTGTAGCAGGAGAAACTATTCATAGTTAATATTGTCAGAGAGCAACCACTTTTAAAAAGTCTTACAGACTCCAGTAGTGTCTCTAAAGCAAATCTCTAAAACTTCTGTAGACACATGGCAACTAAATGACTTTGTGCCTCCATTTGGTGTAAGTATAGTCCATTTCCTATCAATCTTGTAATGAACCAAACAATGCATTAAGTGTATCGATTGTTTATTAAGTGAATATAATTATTTATGTAATAGATACTGTTGTGCCATGATGCTCTGGTTTTGTATTTTATGAAATAAGGGTTTTGAAATATTTTCCTAGACTCTGATTTTTTCAATTTGTGTTTACAGCCCAAAATTGTAATTTGTCTGTAATTTTAAAAACTACCAAACATGTATATGTATAGAATGTTATCTCTTTAATTATGCTTTCCTTTAAATTGACAATGATTATTCATTTTATCTTTTTTCATAAAATATACTGTATCTCTAATTGCACACAACTTATTTTTATAGCTACAAAATTTTGTAGACGTATTTGTACATGCTTCTTCTATGAAAATTCTCAATGTAAAACTTAAAATAGTCTAACATTATGTTTACAGCTTCCAAAGGCCTTTATTAGTCCTTGTTGACAGAAACATAGATTTGGCAACTCCTTTACACCATACTTGGACATATCAAGCTTTGGTGCACGATGTACTGGTAAGAAGCTAAATATAGCATTTATTTACCGAAATGTTGTAACATTACATTTAGAATTAATATGGCTATAGAAAAAAAAAAATTTGAACAAACAAGTGATCTAATGTGTTGTCACCAAATGTAGATGTTAAGGAATCGTAAGGCACTGAAAGGTGCCTTATTAAGGTTATGATTTTCTGATCTTTAAGTAATATTCAGTGGTATTGTTGGCAGTGGTGGGGTTAAAAAAAAAAAAGGAATGGTGAGTAGCAGATGCCTGGGTTTTTTGTTGTTGTTTTGTCTTTTTAAATTTTTTTCATTACTGAATTAGTAAATAAATGTTTATTCCTAGGGAAAGAAGCTATAGCTTCTACCTTTTCTTTGGGAGTCAATTAAATCTTATTTTATAGTAAAGCTGAATGTAAGGTGACTTTAAATGTTCATGGAACAATGCAATTAAAAATTAGTGAAATTTGTCCACAAACTTTTTGGAACCCCTGTATAGTTTTGTTTTGTTTTTTCATAATTATTTTATTCAGATAGCAGTGTGGTCACATATGGTCCAAGAACAAATAGTAAACCAAATATAATCAGAGAGTAAATAATTGGTCTTCAAATATCATAGCCAATGATGCCACACTTGCCTATGATCTCACCGATATAAACTACATCCACACCTCTGTGGCCACCAAACCATTCAGCAGAACATCCTTAACTGTGAGCTGTTTGAAGTGACCAGTTCTAGCACTATTGACTATTTTTTTTAGGCTCTGAATAGCTGTAGGGATATCAGCAGAGGTTGGAGGAACCAGCTCCACCTTGGCATAATGCCAAAATGTGGCCACTCAAGGCTTTGAGTAAGTCACAACAGTGTTTACCATTGTGGGAGCCTTCTCCACCAGATTACATTTAAACTGGGCCATGGTTCTATGATGGAAAGCCCGTTTCCCATAATGGCCAGCCGAATGTTACCTCCGACCCCACTGTATAGTTTTGTTGTATGTTATGTCATATGTTTTTGAAGTATTTCAGTGATTCAATTTTATCCTTACAACAAAATTTATATTTATCCATGTATCTATTCATCTACTCAATATTGATTAAGTAGAGAGTGTAATGTACACAGATAAATAACCCAGCCTCTGGCTTCAAAGGCAATGAGAAGAAAATCTCTATACAAATAACTTCTCTGTAAGGCACTGTTTAACAGGATCAGAATAGGCCCCATTTGATGATAGAAAAGCTTAAGACAGAAGTTAAAAGATTTTAATCCAAATAACTGGCCCTGCCAAGACTAGTACTATAGTTTATTAATTTTTAGCACTGGCCTCTAGGGATTATGCATTATCATTGCAAAGACTGTCTGAAATATCATTTAGAAAAGAACTGAAAGGTATATATAGTAGATATATGGTAGATGGTTTAGGTGTGACAATTTATTTCTTTAAAACTCTTGTATTAGCTCTAAAGTACTTAGTAAATTTGATTTTGGAATTGATCGATATTGGTAGATCTGTTATAACATACATCTTTATCCTAGAGTCCTATGTTGTGAATCTAGTATGAAAGTCAAGAAAATCGTAATGAAAGCATGAAGTATCAAGAGATCACTGAATATAGAAGCTGATTTTAGGAAGTTAATGGAAAAGCTTTGTGACGTTCTTAACAGTATTGAGTTCTTTGACGAGCACTGTACTGGACATTTGTGTCAGCAATGTACAAAGCAGACAAAAATATCCTGTGATTCTGGGGCTTATATTTCTAGTAGAAAAGATAGACAGTAAATAAAATATAACTTGTCAGAAGGTAGAAAATACTCTGAAGGAGAATAATATAGAAAATGGCTAACAGGATTGTATTTTGCATAGGGAAGACCTCATTGATAAGGTGACTTTTGAGCAAAGGTCTAAAGGAGGTAAGGGAGTGATTATGTAGTTATATAGGAGAAATGGAATCCATGGGTGATGCAAATGGTTAACGTATTTGCCTCCTAACTGAAAGATTAGAGACTCAGATCCACTCGGGTGCTTCTGAAGAAAAGCCCTGGTGATCTATTTCTAAAATATCAGCCACTAAAAATCCTGTGCAACACAATTGTTTTCTGACTCTGAGTCCTCATGAGTCCTAATCAACTCTGTGGCATAAAACAGTAGTGATCAGGGCAGAAATACAAGGTGAAAGAATGCCTTGTAGATTTTAAAGATGGCGAGGCAGCCATTGTGTCTAGATCGAAGTAAGCAGGGCATAGTAACTAGAGATGAGGCATGGATAGTATAGGAAATTACAAACCATTGTAACAATGCTGGCTTTTAATTCCAGGGAAATGGAGAGCCTCATGCAGTTTTGAGCAAAGAAGTGAAATCTAATGTACACTTTAAGAACACCCGTCTAATTACTGTGTTGAAAAGAGATTTTGGAGGCAAGAGAAGAAACAAGGAATTATCTTAGCAACAGATGATGACTGACACCAGGATGGAGCTGGTGAAAGTTGTGATGATCTTTTGAATGTAGAGTTTGGGATTTACTGATATATTAGACATAGGATCTAAGAAAAAGAGGAGTGAAAGATGACTCCAGGATTTTGCTTTTGTAAATGGAAAGATATAACTGTTTTTATTGTGATTGGGAAGACAAAGAAAGAATGTGCTTGAGGGAAAGATCAGATGTTTAGTTTTGGACATGGTAAGGGTGAGACACTTGTTAAGATATCCAATTGGATAAACTGAGTAGATTGTTAGATACAGGAGTCTGGAGTTGAGAAGAAAGGTTGGGCCTAGATAAAGAAATTCCAGATTGTCCGTGTATGTTGTTGTTAGGTGCCATCAAGCTGGCACCAATTCATAACGACCTTCTGCACAACAACAAAGCACTGCTCAGTCTTGTGGCGTTAAGACCAAGACACAAGATGAGATCACTAAGCTTGAGTATGATAGAAAAGAGAAGTATTCTAAGAACTGAACTCTTAGCCATGTTAACATTTAGAGGACAGGGAGATGAATAGGGACCAGCATTGCAGTGTAGTATGGAGCAGCCAATAAAGGATGAGAACTAGATTTATGTTATTTTTATAAGCCAGGGGTCTAACTGTTAAACAGGAAGGAGGAATCAACTTGGGCAGTTACTGAGGACTTAGAAGTCACAATTGTATATGACAATATAAAGGTCATTAGTATCTTTGTAAGAACAGTTTCCATAGTCTAGGGACAAAATACTAACTGAAGTGGACTCAAAAGAGATGTGAAGGAGGGTAGTATAGACCACTGTAGAGAAGTTTTGCTTTATAGGGGTGATTGCTGGAAGAGGATGTGAAGTCAGAAAAGAGTTTTAAATGGGAGAAATTACAGCCTGTCTGTGACCAATGACCAAGGGAATGATCAAGAGAAAAGTTAATGATGCAGGCTGTAAGACTTCCCTGTGAGTGTAAGTGAGCAACACAGACTGGATTTATCAACTTGACGGTGTTAACATCTTGGACCTGATCATTTTTTGTTTGAGGAGAACAGTGGCTCTGTAGGACTGCTAACCACAAGGTCTGAGGTTCTAACTCACCAGTCTGCAAGAGAAAGATGAGTCTTTATGCTTATGTAAAGATTTTCAGTCTCTGAAACCCTATTCAGGATTTCCTTCTAGGAGTCAGAAGCAACTCGATAGCACTGAACAACAACAGAATTTCTTCAAAGGGCTGGCCTAATTTAGTAGCATCTTTGCCTTGTAGTTTCCATTATTGTGCTTTTTCAATGGTGACATCTTAAAATGACTTCAAAAATTGACAGATACACTCTAGAATAAAGACAGAGGCCAAAATGAGATTGAGAACCAGTGAGTGGTTTAGGCTGATGATACAAGAGTCAAAGTGTGAATTGTTTTAGAGAAGGCAAGTAAATGATGTGAGGTCACAAGGCAGACCCTAAGTCCAAGAGCATAAGATGCTTGTTGTTGTTAAGTGCCATCGAGTCAGTTCCAATCCATAGAGACCCTGAACAGAGTTTCTGAGGCTATAAACCTTTACGGGAGCAGAAAGCCTCATCTTTCTCCCGTGGAGCAGCTGGTAGTTTCAAACTGCTGACCTTGTGGTTTGCAGCCCGATTCGTATCCACTATGCTACCAGAGCTCCTTAAGATGCTTGTTAGGGGAAAAATAGCTACCATTGAGAAGTCCAAGAGGTAGCCAACCAATTGGAGTTGAGTTGGAAGGTGCAAGTACAAGAAGTTCAAAGATGTTTAGAACAGAAGAATTTGCTGATGACTGAGAATGATATCCAGAGGTTATGACAGAAGGGTTTTGGAAGTTGGGTAAGATTAAAATATGGCATCTAAAACGGATTAACAGGTACAATGAGATAGGGTTGGTGGTCTCAGGTCAGATTGGATTGGTAAGGCCTTTATACCTGGATGGGAGCAAAGGGTGAGGGTTTTAGTAAGAATTTAAAGGTAAAGGATTACTCCCTCATCACTCTACCAATATTGTAGAATCCATTGGCGACTAAACACTGAAATATCTGGGGATCCTTTCTAATTCTTGAAGAGTTCCTGGCTCCCTCTAAATGTGATTCTTTTAATGAGGGACTTAAGAAACATACGTAAGTAATCAGTATAAAGTAATATGCTCTGAGTCCCTATTGTCAGAAGAGAAAATTGAGAAACATAATTTGGGGCAGCAGCAAGAATAAAACCAGACAAGTCTAAAACTGGTCCTTAATGAAGTTTTTACTAGTCCAGAGTGAATAGTAGAGGACCATGAAATAAATTCTTATGACAAACTTTTACATTAATTTTTCTTTCCAATCTTTGATGCTGAAACATCCTTTAAAAAAAAAAAAAGTGATTCCTCAACATAATAAAGAGCATATATACAAAACCAACAGCCTACATTACTCTCAATGGAGAGAAATTGAAAGCCTTCCCTCTGCAAACAGGAACCAGACAAGGATGCCCTCTGTCACCACTCCTATTCAATATTGTGCTGGAAGCCTTAGTAAGAGCTATATGGCAAAACAGGGAAATTAAAGGCATCCAAATTGG